GGCCAGTGCGGCAGTCCCTCTCCATTGGGATTCCTGGGAACAGAATCAAACAAAGGCCCTTAGAGCTGCTATGTGGTCCTCACACTTCTGAGGGTTATGAGAATTCCTTGGCGTATCACTGCCGAGAGGTCCTAGAGTGCCAGAGACTCCTCCCATCTTCTGGGGGCAGCCCAGCCATTCTTAGGGAGTTCTTGCTGTCAGAATACTATGGCCACTGCTTTGGTCACTCATATTTTAGAAACTACCCCTTCCCATTGGGAGTCTCCCCACATTACCCTCCATATCCACTCCATCTTTTTCACCAGCCTCACCCATTTCGAGCAAAATGGCCCCAAAACTTCATCATCATCTTGCTGAGGTTGATCTCCTCCTCTGAGGCACCCTCTGTGGGGAAGAAGACAGGAGTCCTTTCCTGATCATAGTACAAGGGCATGGGCAGTGTTAGCATAGGCTGGGGTGTTTAGAAATGTAGTCTTCACTTTTACCATACACCTGCTGAGTCAGAATCCTCATTTGTAGAAGAGTTAGGCTGAGTGTTCTATTTAAGTCTGGAAATGACTAGTGTAGGATTCACAAATGGACATGTAGTCTGTCCATGAGCTGCCCTTGTTTCCCATGGTGACCTGCTCTTCTTCCCTCCCTACTCAAGGCTACAGTGCTAAATCCCAGTTTCCCTTAGCTCCTAGGTTGCTGACTTGGATCCATTCTCATTTGCGTAGATTCTGAACTATACCAAAACTATTAGTGTTCCAAGGGGTCACCAAAGTAGGAGACACTCAGAGGTACTGGCGTGCTATGAATAGCCATGATATGAGTCATAGGTCACCTACACACGCTGGACATCAGAGTGCTGAAGACATTTGTGAGAAGTTTTCTTTAAATATTATGTTACTAAGATTTATAAACTTTTGATATTTTGGCATATAGGCAGAGATATGGAAATACATATATTAGACCCTTCCCATGCTTAACACCAACATTAACTTTCTCTTCTCTCACAAAGGCTCCTGCAATTGGAAGTCAAATAGTGATATTCTTGCCTGAGGCAGAGCCCTTACAGATGGTACTCTACTTAACCTACTGATATCACAGGTTAGGATCATAGAGGAAGAGAAACAGTAGAAACTGCTTGAGATAGTTCTGTCTTTGTTGTAGTTTGGATGTGAAATGTTCTCGTTAAGCTCGTGCATTGGAACACTAGGTCCCCAACTCATGGCACTGTTTGAGAAGGCTGGGGAGCTTTTAGGATATAGAGACTTGTAGGGAGGAGGTCACCGGGGTGAGCCTTGAGGTTTATAGCTGGCTCCACTCCCTGGTCCCTCTCTGCTTCTTAACTCCTAATGCCATGTGACCAGCCATGCCCCTGCCACTGTGCTTTCCTCACTATGGTGGACTGTGGCCCTTTGAAACCGTAAGTGGGAATAAACCCTTTCTGGTGAAGTTGCTTCATTCAGGCATTTTGCCACAGAAATGTTTAAAGAGATACTTGTTTAAGGCCACCAAACCAGGACTAGAACCCAAGGCTTCTAACTTGAAGTTCGAGCCAACAGATAGCCATTACCTTTTAAAAATGGTTTCCCCCAAACAGAGTAAACGTCATCACCATGGTCTGCTATCACCGTCTTGGGTCTCATGTCAGACACGAAGCTTGGACGATACGTAAATTCATACATGTAGGTGGGGGCTCCAGCATCTGAGAAGACATGGATTCATGTACAGTGCATGTTACCAGACATACATGGGTGATATAATGTCCTCTATCTGTGCAGCAACCCTCCTGTCACCCCCACATGCACAGCTAGGAGAGAAACAGAGCTTTAGGGGATCCTAAGGGCTTGCTTGAGGCTGATGGTTGAGCAGAACTGGGATTTGAACAAGGCTTTCACTGAATGAAGGCAGAGTGAATACAGTGCAGGCAGTGTGTGCCTGGATGCATTTCAGTGATGACATCCTGTGCTCCTTCACTCTGAGCAGCTCTGTACCTAGTAGGCATCTTCTGTCAGTCTGGTTTTGAGCATCTCCAGTGTTTTCCTCAGTCACGCAGAAAGGAGTGATGCAAATCCAAGCCACCTGCCTGACCATGAGGCCATTTGAATGCGAGTCTATGAAGAGAGTGAGCACTCTGTCTCTTAGGCTTCATGAATCCATGGAACTTGGGATTCTTATTTGAGCAGGCTTGGCTGGGAGTGTTAAGGCCTTCAGGTGTGAGGGGAAAGTGAGTTTGCCTCTCTCCTTTGCCTTCCTCTCTCACCAGCAAAGACATCATGTCTAAGCCCACGGTACCATGGCTCCTGCCCACTGGATCATTGGATCAGCTAATTACTTCTGCTTTGTATTAACCCATGCATTCCAGGGACCTCAGTACCAGTGGTCATGGTAGGGCATAGATGCCCACAGAGGAGTGAGTGACTCTAGAGGAGAAGGATAAGGCTCCAAATCAGGGAAAAATCTGTCTCCTTTCCCTTGCTTGCATTCAATAAGAATCATGAAAAATATAGAAAAAAAAATTCCTCATAATTTCACCACTGGCAGTCCCTTGATGTTTTAGCATATATCCTTATGTATATAAAACTGGGACAATATTATCCAAGACATTCATTGTAGGTAGTTGTGCTGGCTAGTTTTATGTCAACTTTACACAAGCTAAAGTTATGTGAAAGGAGGGAATCTTGACTGAGAAAATACCTCCATAAAATATGTCTGTAGGGCATTTTCTAAATTAGTGGTTGATAGGGTAGGGCAAAGCCCAGTGTGGGTGGTGCCATCTCTGGGCTAGTGGTCCTGGATTCTACAAGAAAATAGGATAAGCAAGCCATGAGGAGCAAGCCAGTAATCTGCACTGCCCCATGGCCTCTGTATCAGCTCCTGCCTCCAAGTTCCTCCCCTGTTTGAGTTCTTGTTCCTTCAGTGATGGACTGTGATGTGGAAGTGCAAGTCAAATAAACCCTTCCCTCTTCAACTGGTGTTTGGTCATCGTGTTTCATCACAGCCACAGCAACCCTAACTAAGATACCAGTGCATACGTTTATAAAGTTCTGAATTAAAAAGAAAAACTGAATGGTTAGAAAGGGAAGTCTAAACTAGAGAAATATTTCCTGGTAACAACAAAGGGTCCTGGGAGGCTCCCCAAACGGTGCCTGGGAGAGCAATCCCACTTTCAGGTGGGCTCATGCATTCATAACATCACACCTTGCTTGCATTGCACAGCCCTGGGACAGTGCTGGGAAGTCCCAGAGAAGATCCACTTCAGCCCTCAATCTACCCACACCTGTATTACCGAGTTGGACAAAGGGTAGGCATGGGTAACAATCGTCTGTAGACCACCTCTCCTCATGTCCTATCACCCTCTGTCTCTGCACTTTGAGTCCTGTCTAGCCTTTGATACTATGTGGCTCCTTCTACTTTTTCTCCAGCTCCACTCCTGTGAACAAGATACCCTACAGCAACCTCTGACCTTGAACAGGTTCTCTGAAGGTTACTTTCAGGTATCAGTTTGAGTGGATTAAGGCCTACTAGAAAACCATCAAGCATTATTTCTGGGTGTGAGCAGGGTCTTTACAGGGGAGGCTGGGATATGAGTTGGTGCACTAATGGTGAAGGTCTACCCTTAGTGAGGACACGTGTCCTCTGATCTGCTGGGCATCGCAGAGAAGAAAGCAGAGAGAAGGCAATGTTCTCTCTCCTGGAGCTTCTTCTCCTGCCCCTGAACTCCTGCCCAGCACTCCAGGATGCTCACATTTGGACTTTGAGACTTACACCAGGGGTCCTCAAAGGCCTCTGAACTTGATTAGACCGAGAAGCACACCACTGGCTTCTCTGGCCCTGAGGCTTTCCACCTTGTGGTCACTTTGCCAGAACCCTAGGGTCTCTGATCTGTTCTGGCCTCAGGCTTCTTGGCCTTAATAATCCCACAAGTCAATTCCCCCAATATATCCCCTCTCATCTGTCTATCAGTTATCTATATCCCACTGGTTCAGTTTCTCGTCAGACTATGCCAAACTTTCCAAGTGTGTACACTTTATCTCTGTACACACCTCTCACATCATCACATAAGTTCAAATGTACTGCCTAAACTTATTCTTCTCTGTCATAGGCCAGTGCAGCTTTATTATCAACCAATCAGAGCAACACATATTCCCAGTGTACAGAAAGACGTCCCACAACACTGAAATAGCTCTCCACCAATAGCAAGTGTATGCTGATGGGTGTGACTAGCTCCTTCAATCCTCAGATGGGATAACCCCGAGATGTGCCCTCTGCATGGTTCTAAGAACTCTCAGCTCCATCCATCCATAGTAGACACATGCTTGGCAGTGGACCACTGACCGGCCTCTTTCCAGTATCATGTCCTCACCTCCCTAGGAGTGTTTACTGAGATTGACTTCCAAATTGACTACTTGCATTTGTGCCCTGTTTCAGAGATTCATGTGATAAAAAACAACGTAAAACATACCCTGCACCACCTCTGGGCCACATGGAGTGAGCCTCTGAGTCCCGACCCTCAGCAGTTTCCACATCTGACTACGCTGGGAGTCAGTGTCCGTCTTTTGGCCAGCCCCAGGGACTCACCTCTGTGGTAGCGGGCCACAATCACAGATGGCACAGCAAATAAAACATCTCCCATCATGTCTAAAAAGAGCTTTTTCTTTTTGTTAGGGCAGTCTGATCCTCCCAAATACTTCTCAATGGCCACTGGAGTCAGTTCCTTGGAGATGTTCTGAAATAAATCAAGAAAGAGCCCACCTCCACTAATGAGCAATGTGATTTTTCCAGCCCATTGAGAAGACTTCTGTTGACTATGACATTCTCCAGTGCTGTGCTAATCCTTACTCTGGGGTGCAAACTCCAGATTCCAGTTGCCTTTGCCCTACCATTTAATTGACCTGTGACTCAGGGAAAGCTCCCAGCCCTTCCTTGAATCTCAACATTTTCCCATGATTCCACTTGTACTTACAGTGAGTGGGTAAGACTTCCATAGGAGGGATGTGGCTGTCTTCTGGTCCAGTTTGCCTTCAGAGAGTGGATAGCCCATCATCTGTTAAAGAAATGGTCAGTCATTTGTAAATTGTTTGGAATTAATGGGAATAACCAAACAGGCTGGCCAGTCAATCAAACTGATGCAGAGTGAAGGTATTCATGGGCCTTGACATGCATGGGTTTTGATGAATTAGACAATAATAGTTAACTTGGTGGATTTATCCAGAAAATGAAAGAACACAAAAGAGATTAAAAACATGTTTAGCAGAAGCTGATTGTGTGTGCATGTACGTGCCTGTCTAGTGTGTGAATGTGTGTAAGTGTATGTGTGTTTGTGTGTGTATCTGTTTGTTTATCAAGCTGGACTATACACAAAGATCCTTTACACAGTGAGGGAACATTAAGCCCAGGTATTCAGAAGTTGAATAGAACTCAGTGACAGAGGGCACAAGACATACCACCACCAAATCTACAAGCAACCATTATGACTATTGTTTGCTAATCTCTGAAAACCTTCTGTATTGAGAGCTGCAGAACTCTTATCATGTGTTGATGTGTGCAAACCTCTGCAGCTAGAGACAACCTAACATCAGCATGGCTGTAGAGGCATGACCTGTCCCCATGCCGTGCTTACCTGGGAGGCTCAGTGCTGCTGGGAGAAAACCTGGTGTTAATGCAGACTGCCCCTGACCTCTACTAAAGCAGCTACTGTAGAAAGCTTGCAGTTAAAAAAACGTTATGATGCCTCTTGAGATATTAATGCCTCAACAAAAACAGTTTCCTCAAGGACCAGGGAGTGATTTGCTATGATTTTTGAAATTTCTATGAAGTAAAAACAGTTGGGAAGAGCGTACTTGTTCTCTCTGCCAGTCTTTCTGGAGGGAATCAGCCCTAGCTTCTGTAAGTGCTCAACGCCAACTTCCAGCTCCGAATCTTTCTATGAAGAGAAGGATGTTTCGCCTGCAGAGGAGTGTGGGCTAACACTTCTGTATCCGGCCACACCGACTCACCCTTCCTATCACAGTGGCTCTTTGAGGACATCACAGCCTTGAAACCTCTCCCACTATTGGTGCCAGGGATCAGAGTTAACCTTGTATTGGTCTCTTCTCTAGCACACTTATACTATTAAATGAACCCTACATATTGTACTTGAATGTGTATTGTTCATTGTTTGTTTTTAACACAAGAAAATCTCTGGACATGTGAGTTCAACTCCAAGGCGGAAGCTGCCGAGCCCAGCCTGACTCCTTACTCTCGCTCCCTCTCTTTCCTAGGTGTCCTTAGTTATTCCATCTGAACAATTTCCATCACTTCTTGGCCTTAGGGCTAAGATCAAGAGCAATCCGGACAGTTCTCATCACTACAGATCTCTCACCCGGAGCTTTTCAGGACTCTTTAGGGAAAGGCAAAGCGTGTGGGGAGAGGAGCTCCTAGGACTGCACTTCCCAGGTCACAGTTGGACCATCTTGGAGAACGTCTCCATGGAAATGTCCACCCGTGACAATGGGAACAGCTTCCTTGGATTCAAAGAGACATTCAGAAGAGGAAGAAGCCCTGGTCGCAGGTGATGAAGGGCCCTGGGGTTAATCCTGGGAGGTTGCTACTTTCTCACCGTGGGAATAAACCAGCCAAACTCTTGCTTGTTGATCCCCACGATGTAGGGCACAGTGTTGAAGTTCTTCTCAGCCAGGATCTCTTCTGGTGCCTTTGGCAGCAACACTCCATCAATCACAGTGGTCAGGAAGGGGTAGCTCTGGAGAACAAAATGGTACGTGGCTGTTTACTTCACCAAACGCCTCTGTCCCCTTGCTGTCTGTCTGGTGGTCACACACTCACTGTCAAGCTACATGAGAATGAGCAGTGGCCACAGAAGCTCAAGGACCCCAAAGGGACTAAGTTTCTGTGAGGGGATAGAACTCTGACTTATGGATGTCTCTGGTAAGGTGATGGGGAGGTGGTAAATTCTGGAATATTTGTATATACATAATGAAGTTCTATAAAGCTGGGATCTAAGTAGAAACATGAAATTCATTGACATACTTTTAAATGACTTATTTTAATTTTAGTTATGTGCATGTGAGTGCAGATGCTCACAGAGGCCGGAAGGGGCAGGTGGCTGTGAGCCTCCCAACACTGGTGCTAGGAACTAAACTCAGGTCCCTGCAACAGTAGCAAGTGCTCTTAACCTCTAAGCCATCTCCTTGGCTCTCTCACAGATGTTTGAAGACATCTAATACATTTTGACTGTGACTTGCCATGGAAGCCCATTTGTGGAATTCTTACTCCTGGCACCACGTCGGCACTCAGAACACTGGGGGCTGTGGAGCATAGCGCTGTTTAAAGAAGCGGATCACTCTGCACTGCCATGGGAAAGGTGCCTCGAGGAACATAAAAATGGAGACTTCTCTGGCTTCATTTTCACAACCGTGTTGTCTACTACATGTTTTAAATAATTTTTCCTCGTGTCAAGAACCCACAGATTCAGCTTCTCTCTCCTCTTTTTGCAGCTCCATCAGATATTACAGGTATCATATTAGCACTTGGCAGGACAGCCCCACTTACCTGTAGACAAGTCTCTTCTTGTGGAGCTAATGTATTGCTGACATTGTCAC